AAAATTACTGGGTTTTATAATAAATAAAAGTTAATAAAATTTGAAAAATAAAAAAAAACAGTAAAATAACAAGTTAGGCAATAAGATTGATGGTATTTATTATAAAATAGTAGGCCTTTTGACTAAATTGCAGCACGAAGAGAATTATTTTAAAGTTGGAATTTTCTGACACGCCTGCGCCCTTTTTCAACTAGACGAGGAATAAACAAATAAGTGGGGCATGTTCATCCGTAATATATATATATATATATATATATATATATATACACGCACACACACTGAGATAAAACCCGAGCTTATTCTCGGTCAGGATAATTCGATAAAATTGCAGTCTTCCAATCACATCTATTGATTGCAATTCTACATTCATTCCTGTTTACAACCTCTCCTCTGTATTGGTCAACACAGAAGTTTTGTTCACTATATTGCACTAAACGGTCTAGTAGATCATGAATAGTCACACTCTGTATTTATTTGCCCATGTGCCAACTGTTTGCTATATCTGTTATCAGTTAAGTCAGAAAGTTTAGTCCTTATGTAAGCGGACATGCTCCACATTGCGTCATCAAAATGTCACATGAAATCCTTTGTTAAATTTTTAAAAAAAATGGTTATATAAATCTGAATTTGCTCGCCATAAATCGTTAATACATTTCGGTCAAAAGAAAGAGTTTCCTCTCAGCTATTTCGATTTGTTAATAAGATGGCAATAAACTCAACAATTGCCCGGATGTTTTAGTAGTTATTATTTATACCTTTAATTTCCTTATCGCGTAAAATTACTTTTTTGGTAAATTTAACAACATTATTGTTCTGTTTTGGGCATATATGACATAAAACTAATTGACTGGTTAAGAATTGCCATAAACTGTCATCGGTATTACCAAACGCCTCTGCAGGAAATTATTTCTATACCTTACGTTTTTATAAGTTACATCTGTTCCATACTGTTTGTGGCTAGTTCAAGGAAAAAAAAAAACTCTTACTTATTTGCCCATATTATTCACATTATTTCAACCTTGTCGGCTTGTAAAATTCGTAAACCTCAGCATGGATGTCCTTGGGGAAAGTTAACTTTGCCATTTCTATCGCTTTGGGCGGGCTATTCTTCAAAACCGTGTAGCAGAGAAATAGAATAATTCGTTATTTCATCTTTTGTATTTCTGCTAAAGTCTTCAGATTTTTTCTACTAATCTCCCACCCCCGGGACATCCTGGAAAGTATAAAAAGTGTCGGCAACGATGTTGAAATCCATGAATTACGTTCTTTTCCAAGAAGGGGGAAAAAAACACGAATTCTGGTGACGTTTTGTGCGTGTATATGTGTATTTCACACACAAACACGTTTTAACACTTCAGCATCTGTCAGAAATCGGTTTGCCATTGGCATCTCCAGAAATAATTTTGGAAATAACAATTGAAACCTGAATTCAAAACATTGATTAAATGAAAATAAAACTGATCCCAACAGGTGCATAGAAAAGAAATTGAAAATGTCACAATTCGGAGGCAAATGTGAAAAGGTCGTAGAAAGACATTTTTGTATGTCCTAGCAATGTGTTTAATGCGTTTCTTTAAGGTAAAAGTACTTTTCCAAAATATGTATTGCTTTTTCGTTTCTTCTTCTTCTTTTTTTTTTTTTTTTTTTTTTTTTTAAAGCATTAATTTATGGAATGAAAGCTCTGTCAAGTGTTTAGAATTTTCCAGGGACAGCGTAGGCCTGCGAATTTATGAAAACTGTAAATGTCGGAATTATCTGAATGCTGTTTCGCATATTTGGTTGTATCATTTACGCCCGGGCATCAACGTTAAACGGGGCGACATCAAACATCCTTGCCTTTTTGCTTTTACACACACACACACACACACACACACACATATATATATATATATATATATATATATATATATATATATATATATATATATTGGAGGCACGGTGGAGTAATGGATAGCGGCTCGGATTGAGGAATCGGAGAAACAAGTTCAAATTCCAGTCGAATCCATTCCATTCACTTACGTGCTAATACCCTTAGGAAAGGTGTGAATCCTCTTCTTCTCCCTCCAGCTATGGGTAAATAGCAGGACAGACTGGGTTCTATAGCTTTGGATGGCAACTGGTCTAGAAGGACAACTGAATTTAAAACCTGCGGGGGGTCGTTTGGGGAACTTGTGTCACGTAGTGCACCAGTTCTCTGTATTCGGCCCTTCAAAAAGTGTGGATGGTCCTGCACGAAACCTTCAGTACTCCAATCAAATCTCATGTGCTGTTGTCGGGCCGTTGGTTTCCTAGGAACTGATCTGCTTGACCCTCATACGTCGAATTTGACGGGAGAGTCGAGTATTATATATATATATATAAGCGTTTATGGCGAAATATAAAAGCAATGTTTTTTGGGATTTTTTTTCTCTTCGGATCATTTCTGCGTGGCTTTCAGAAAAGAAAATAGTGTCACAGAAAATTCTGTTAAAAATAATATGGACTTATTTACAGAAAATTAGAGCGCAAATTTAAACTACTCAACCGTTCATAGACTGCTTCAATCGCCGGGCTTGGGGAGGCCAGGGAGAGAGAAGAAACCGATTCTGTTTTCTCATGATCGGTGGACTTTCAGATGTCTTGGCAGTACCCATCTCCTCTACAAGCTCTTGACCGACAACCAATGACCACGGAATATGGTTTGAGTCGCCCTCGGTCCATACACTAGGCCCTCGGGTTTTGAATTCAGAGTTGTCTTTCTCCTAGACCAGTTGCCTCCAAGGCCTTGTGTGTCCTGTTATTTACCCATAGACGGAGAGAGAATGGATGGATTCATAACTTTCCCAAGGGTATTAGCACATAAGTGAATATAATGAACTCAACTGGAATTTGAACCCGGCTCTTCTATTGAAATAATAGAATAACACTATTTAAACCAGTATATTCATTTTGGTTGCGATACGCACAACGTTTCAGCCGTTGTACTCTTCGGCCTTCAAGCGTCTGCCTTGGTACTCAGTTACTATCTGGGATTTTCAAATCGAATTTACTCGTGACTTAAAGCGTTGGTTAATACATATCTGGTTCACTATCGGTTAAGAATTCAATTTCTCGGTCTGGTAGTGGTGAAAATCAGATATTCTAGTACACTGGACGAAACGGATAAGACAACTCGTATCGGTCAGTACTTACTTATCATTATCTTAAATGATATGAGTTATCTCCCTTAAGCCTGGAAAGTGAAACAAGAACAATCTACACTAGTGGGGTGAATAAAAGGTTCGGTTGAAATTCCAATGTTACAAAGTTCAAAGACTTGAAGATCGAAAGGTAAAACAGCCGAATCGTTGTGAGTATAACAACGAAGATGAGTTAGCTAGAATAACAAAGTGTATAGTAATAGATATTTTTTCTCTCTGAATTTTTGTGACGATTATCACAGATTTTATCGAATGTTCTAATTGTGGACCCGTTAAATTTCGTGTATATCTAATTCCCCCACAAAGCTAAAAATGTTTTTAACAAAATATTCGTTCTGTATCTGTCTATATTTCTGAGATGAGGTATTATATACACTGTTTACATTATTCGGACTATTGTCCTCATCTTTGTTGCCATAAGGCCGGAGCGTACAACGGCCGAAACGTACAGATAAATATGGCAACAAAGATGACACTAGTCCGAATAATGTAAATAGTGAAAAATATTCGTTTCACAATATTTTCCAATTTGCTGTTTGTATTTGGTTGATTGATTGTTTTTGTGTGTTGGCATATCAAACTCACGTCCCTGAACTTGCCTGACTTTTCCGCTAGCCTGATGAATATTCATGAGTACCCCTATACCAAAATTTTGAAAAATCAATTACATTTTTGCTTTTGTAAATAAATGCTTGTCACAAAATAAATTCCTTACATTTTCCCTGATGAAGTCCCTGAAACGTATCGGCTAGGATAAGTTTTCCTTTTATTTACATTATTCGGACTAATAGGGTAATACGATTTTGCAGTTCACGGAAAACATTTGCCAACTGATTTACAGTAATGCCTGAAATCACATTAGTTATTTTAGCTATACTTAAAACTAGGTACATTAAACTTTATAACATTTTTTCACAGATTATTTCTATCGCAAATACAAATAAAGTTATAAATTTTTTAAAGTGCACATGAACTTTATGGACACCCTGAATATATATATAATAGTTTTTTTTTAATATATCTCGATCGTCACAGTTACTGTTTCGAAACCGAATCTTAAACTTAAAATTTTTCTGTCGCGATGGAGACATATTTTAAAAAAAATAATTATAATATTATAATATAGTTTGTATCGAGCACTGTGGGTTTTTTAATAAAAATAATCGCAAAAGAACTCTATTAAATTTGAATGTTCTTATATCTTGTGGTCCAATCAGTTAAGGGCACGTCAGGCTATATGACGGTTCCGTATAGGATACAGGTTCGATTCCTGTCGGAGGACGCATATTTTCTATGGAGATTGAATGGTCGTGGTAGATTCATAGCCTTTCCCAAGGGTATTTGCACATGTGAATATAACGAACCAAGCTCGAACTGGAACTCAATGAATTCCTCAAGGCTCTTTAACTGCCTGGCATTCCCTTCCATAAGTTTCATTTTAAAACTGAGGCACCTATACTCCCTGACATTTCGACCCCCCAACATTGTGCAATGGAAATGACCTACCAGACATTCGAATTGAAGTGACACTCAGCTTGGACTTTCCTGGCGGCAAGGGTGGGACTAGCAGAGTGATTCATTTTCTTATCAACCCTTTGCAAGTTATTTAAAGCCCGAAAATATTTTTAGCTTGTAAGAATCTTTTAGTGATAAGTTTTACTAATTAACCCATAGCTGGGGGAAAGTGTTGGATTCATACCTTTCTCAAGGGTATTTGCGCTTAAGTGAATATAACGAACTCAACGGGAATTTGAACTCCGCTCTGCGATTAATAATTCCAAGTCATTATCCATTACACCACCCGCACATCTAAACATAATGCACCTTGTATTCCCAAGCGGTTGCTCATCTAGGTACTGACCAGGCTCGACATTGCTTAACTACGGTGATCGTACAGGAACCGATGTTTCGACGTGATGCGGCCGTAAGCCAGTTTGTATATGGATTTTCTTTCCATGTTGACTGTTTTGAAAATAACCTTTTAGACGTTAATGTTTGCTCCTTAGCAAAGTCGTCCATATTAATAAACACGACGTCTCCAATAAACGCCACATTTATCAAATACAGTGTAACCCGGATATAAGAGAGATTTTCTCTGGTCCCAAATTAGAGCCTGTGTTAATGTATATAAAATAGAACAAACCCGGATATAAGAGAAACACGGATATAAGAGACTTCTTCTCCGGTCCCGACAACTCTCTTATATCCGGGTTACACTGTATTTGATTCCACGCCTTTTCTTTACCAATATCGCTAATCTCTGCTCAAGTGAAATATGATTTCTGATTTTGATTTATATGCAAATTAGATATGAGCGCCATGTTGAAATATTTTGAATTGATTGTTCCGTTTAAATCAGTGCTTCTCAAACTATCTGATATGGCTGACCGGCATTTTTTTTCTCAATGTGTCACGTACCTGTAATATTTCGTGTTAATATTAATTTATACTGATAACGATATATATAATGAATATAATAAAAGTTCATTATTTTTTTTTTATCTTCCATTTTTTTTTTTTTTTTTTTTTTTTTTTTTAAGCGTTTCACCCCAAGCAAGGCGGAAAGCCACTAGGACGCAAGGGGTTACAGAAAATTTGGAGCAAGATCAGATAGGAGTGATAGAAGAAAAGATGAGGAGAAAGGTAGTGGATAGATCAAGGCAACTGGAGATACAGAGGCCAGTGAGAGAGAGAGAGAGTACCGGAAACCCCTTCCTAAACAAGAAACAAGGCGTAAGCCTCTACTCATGTCCAAGAGAAGGGGGAGGAGTGTTGACCGGACGGTAGAAAATTTATTTTGCAAAGAATAATTCAATATCAAAAAATAAAAAGTTTATTAAAGAAAAACAAAAATTAATCTTTAAAAATGATTCCTTAGCCTGGCCTGGACACTGGCCGCGTACTGGTAGCTGATAGTTCGCGTAGCGGCACCTGTCCGAGGACCACCACTTTGAGTGGCAGAGCGACACTTTCGGTTATTTAATGCCGACAATTTTTTTTTCTTTTTTAAATCTATGACTTGTAAACAATCCTTTGAGCTGTTGGTTCCATCACTCCCCAGAATGTTTTACAAACCGGAAAATGTCAATTTCCAGCTACGAAAGTCCTGGATTAATCGGGAGAACTTGACCAAAATTGTAGAATTCCAGCAAAATTTGGTGAAATCTTGACAAATGATTAATTTTCTATAAAATGTTTGAAAGGCATGAACTCAAATTTGTCTTCAGCTATTGTCCGCGTCGACATGATATTCCAACTGCTTCTCCCCAGAAGGAAATAGGTGGGATAATGAAGAAAATTCTACGAAAGTCTCCATAACGTCGGACATATTAACTTAACAATTTTATCTAAAAGAAGTTTATACAATATACTGTTGCACATTACAAAGAGATGTGCTACTCCACGCGTTGTATACACACACACACATATATATATATATATATATATATATATATATATATATATATATACCGCGGGGAAAGGCTTATAGTAGTTCCAACAAGAGAAGTATTAAAAAAGAGAGAAACCTCAAACGTTTTTGGTTGTCATGTGGATTTTAAAAAAATATATTATGCTTTATTTTCAATAATATATTTTTTAAAAATACACTTTACAATCAAAGACGTTGGTTTCTTTTTCTTTTAATATATATATATATATATATATATATATATATATATATATATATATATATATATATATATATATATATATATATATATATATATATATATATATATATATATATATGTGTGAGTGTACGCGTAATTTTGAAGCAGTTAATGGATTTTTTAAAATTTGAATCCTACATTATTATTTATTGCTGCAAATGTTATTTATGGTGGCTACACACGTTTTAGTAGACATCCTTATTTGTTAAACAGTAAAATTAATAGCTACTGGCTTAGAGATCGAAAGTCTTGTTAAAGAAAATCTTCCTCTCAACAGAAAATGGACCTGTATCTTCTTTTTAATCTAACAAACCACTTTCAATCCAAATGTACTTTAATTTTAAGCTCCGAAAAAATTACTCTATTTTAAGAAAAAAACAAATCTCGTCGGGGCATTTCGGAGTCTATATCTGCTAATTTTATTTTCCTGTCTGAAACGTTAAAAAAAGGGTAATTATTCAGCAATTAATGGATTTATTTCCAAAATTTCAATCCGATATTATTTCTTCTTAGCCTTTTAGTTGGTGCACGATTTTGAACAGACATTCCCGATTTTTTTTTTGTTTTTTTTTTTTTTAAACAGTGAAATTAATTAATTGAAATATATATACTGGCCGAGAACTCGAAAGTGTTATTAAAGACTTTTCTGTCGAGAAGCTCATTTTCCTTAATAAGACTTTCAATGTCTAGTAGATGTCTGGTAGATATTAATTCCATTGTTTTAAAAAAAAATAAACAAAACGGGACGTCCACTTAAACACGTGTATCCACTAAATAAGACGTTCAACCGGCATATGATTTGAAATTCTGGTTTTCATTTGTTTTTATAATTTTAGTTTAATTATTCGACGCAACTTCGTTATGCATTTTTCAGTCCAATTTTCATGTCGAGGCTATTTTTTTTCTGAGGATTCACGGTACATGTATTCGATATTCGTTTATCCCGTTATTCTGACATTTTCATTTTTTTGCAGCTTTGCTAAGAATCTATTTGCATGTTATGTCGCTTGTTTTACGTGACGAATAAGTGCACGTTAGAGTTGATAGATTTCGAGAAATGTTCAGGCTTCTCCAACATCTGGTTTCTTTTTCACTGCCTTCCAAAAAATATGGTCTTGGTTCTTTTGAAACTTATTTCATCTATCGCCACCCTCAACCCTTGCTTGTTTATTCTCCTATATTCTAATGGGCGGGGTCTGGTTCTCAGTTAGGGGACTTGATCATGATCATGAACAATATAGTGTGATATACTGCTCTAATTTATTTTATTTTTTTTTTTTTTTTTGCGATTGTGATTTTGCGCTAAAATATCCTGCCAGATTCATCACTGTGGCCCAGAAAAGTCATTTCTCAATAACAACGCCATTAGCCTTCCGGTTTTATTTACTTTATTAGTTTATTTAATGTTCTCTCGACTTGTCTAGTTATTTTCTTTTCAGCCTATGATGGTCTGTTCTCAAAAGATAAAAATTAAAAATCTCCCTCTGAATTTAAAAAAAACAAACTTTTCTTCTACAGCGTTTCTTCGAAAATTGGAATAACTTTCATTTTACCATGCTACTTCAATTCAATTCATATACCCAGACACAGAAAAACAAAGTAATAATCCACTTTGAATTTAAGCTTAGATACCTAATAATCATAAAGCTTAACTCCGTCTGTGTGTTCAGAATGTTTAAGATTTTAACATCAAAGTATCCTTGTATTTTCCAGCACACACACATGGATGTGCGGGTGGTGTAATGGATAACGGCTCGTTTGAGAAATTGAAGAGCACATTTCGTTACATTCACTTGCAAATACTTTCCGAAAGGTATAACTACATCTCTCCTACCCGCCATCAGCTATGGGCTAAAAAGAGTCGGACTTTTATCTGGAAAAATCATTATTGTTGTAATGGAATGTCCCACACACCCTATGTGGACTGACTATATCAGTAGCTATATATAGTGAGCACAGGGTATACCTAGTGGCTTCCTTCATAAATTAGTTGGAGATTTGTCTCCAGCTGTGCTGGTCGAACTCACTGCCTTCGAACTCTGCCTTCTAGACGAGGCTATGCCGAAGGGCAGAGTCCCGTCTGGTGTGGTAGACCGCTCCCCGACCCGGTGTATACGAAGTCTATGGAGAGTTTTTGCCCGAACCTACGAGCTCGGTTTTGACCCCGCATTAAAAGCGGCCTTGTGCCATATCCTGCTTCGCAAGGAGGTAAGGTAAATAACCTTGCTTCGGCAATTAGTTGGAGATTCGTCTCCAGCTATGTCTACGGTGAATTTTTGCCCGATCCTACAGGCTCGGTTTTGCCCCGCATTAAAAACGGGCTTGTGCCACATCCTGCCTCGCAGGGCGGGGTGGGGTAAGACAAATATCCTTGCGTCGGGAATTACTAGGCTGCCACCCGATTCCCTGTCTTTCAGTAGTGTATTCTCTTTTACAATAAACCTCTCTTTCATCTACGCTCGTGTTGCTATACCTTCACTCGAGTACCACCTGTGTCTATTTGTAACCCCCTTTAAGGATACAACAATTATTTCCCAAAAAATTATTAATGCAATATTCACGTGAGGAAAAAAATAATTCTTGTAAGAATTCGGCTTTAAATGATCCACAAAGGGTTGATAAACTGTAAAAATCAATCAATCCAGCAAATACATATATCAGCGCAGAGCAATAATAACTTCAGTGAATCCGAACACGTCATTTTGAAACAACACACAGTTAATACCCACAATACTGACCCACTCAGTGTGGGGCAATGCTTTGTACTATTCATTCCATTACTACTGAACTGAGAGTTCGATCCACATTAGGAGCTCAATCCTTGTGACCTTGTTTCAAACTAACCTAAATTTAATATAAATACTTAGCTCAGCAAAAATTATTCTTCGGTATTTAGTTTCTTTCCCCCCCGTCAATTTCTTTTCATTTCATGCTTTGAATGATAATATTTATGAAAATAGAAGGGGATTTATGGGTTTCTGTTGACACTTTTTGAATTAATTTTCTGATTTTTTTTTTCACAAGTACAGATGTGTAAATATATACTATCCCAAAGATGTATTGAGCAGTTTTTTTAACAAAAAAAGAAAAAAAAACAATTAAAAAAATGTTTAAATGCCACATTTCTGTTTCATAAAAGATAATAGGTAAATTAGAAGGTGGCGACTAATAACCTACAAAAAATGAATTTTAAAAAGTGGCGACTGATAAGCCACAAAAATACGCTATGTTTAAAACGTGTTTTTTTGTTTGTTTATTTTTGTTTTTTTGTTGTTTTTTTTGGTGTGTCGGGGGGGGTATCTGTCGTCACTTTATAAAATGCGTTTTTTGTGGGCTAAAAAATGCATTTTAAAATGTAACAACTGATAACACTGAAAAAACAGATTTTAAAAAGTGGCGACTGATAACCTACAAAAAATGCATTTTAAAAAGTGGCGACAAAACAAGTTTTTAAATGTAGCGAATGATAACCTCAAAGTACTGAAAATAGATGCCCAAAATCCGATTCAAGTACTACATTGCGAGGATTTTAGAGAAAAACATAGAAGTTATGTCCTTTTCCGGTGAAATGCTAATCTCTTGTCTTTAGAAACCGCATTTGATTTAAAGTCTAGATTTATTGCATTCATAAACAAACGGTTTCAAAATCTGTCAATCCGAAATGCTTTTATTTATTTATTATATTTTTCATTGTGGTGGACAATCGATCATTCAAAAGAGCCATATTTCTACCAATGTTTCCATTAACGATTCATTTACATCTTTTCGTATTTCACTTTTACTCCGTTGTCTATAATTCTCAGTTGCCTGATTGTCTCCAGTGATCAGTGACATTGATCAATATTTGAAAGTTTCAAATTTTTGTTTAAAAAAAATTACATAAAAACGCCAGTCTTTTTAAGACAAAAGGATAAAACAAAATGCCACAATTGTGTATTTTACGCAATAAATCTTAACAAAATGTTGTAAAAATAAAATCAATATTAATTGACCAATCAGGAACGCTGCAGCTTTTCTTACATGAAACGAAGACACGTTGAACATTAATTTCGTTTTCGGCGCAAGTTCACATCGCTGAGTCTCCAGGCTCGGATATGTACGGGGTGTCCCCCACCACCTGGAATTACCCTATAAACTTTCATACATTACATCCGCTCTTTTAAGATCTGTTAAACCGAAAAGAAAAGATGTTCTGCGTAAAATGACCTTATGACCCCTGTTTTTCATGGCCGATGATTATTCTGCCGATCCAAAACCAAATATACCAAAAGGCCTTTTTTTTTTCTTTTCATACATATATATATGGATATATGTCCGGTGTCCCTTATAAATTTCTTTTCATATCTACACAGATATGTTCCCGGTGTTCTCTATTAATGTCTATACATTACTAATTGTGGGGCACTCCGAGGTGGTGTGATGGTTAACAAGTTTGTCTCGCTAGAACAATTACGACTGAGTAGTGAGTTCGATCCTCATTGGGTCTCCCATACTTTCGGCCTTGTGCCACATCTGAGCTACGCTTGGAAAATCACTACATTACAAATTGTGTTGTCGAATTTTTTGTTTAAATCTTTCTCAGATTTCTGTTGGAAAGAAATTTTAAAACAAATGTTTTCTTCGGATTTATCATTTTATGTAAGAATTCAGCAAATAAAAAAAAATAAGATACATGGCACAGTGGATAAAGGCGTTTGTTAGATCCAGTGACAGAACCCAAAGAGTGTGAGTTCAATACCCGGCTAAGGCAGTGGAGAACTTTCAGAGGGAAAATTAACAGGAGATAACTGACATCCATTAAGCATGGCACGTGGAACTAGAACAGTCTACTCCAGTGAGCGAAATAAGGATTTAGTTCGACATTCCAACCACCTGAAGAAGGCCGGAGCGAACAACGGCCGAAATGTTCTAATAAATATGGCGACAAAGATGAGGACAATAGTCCGAATAATGTATATAATGTACATAATACCTCATTTCAGAAATATAGACAGAAAAAAATAAAGTTATATTATATCTGTTTTCTCTCTACCCCAAAATCAATGTTTTTTTTCCAAACGAATTGTTTGGACATTTTCGTACTCTGTATTTATTTATTTATTTATTTTTTTTTTTTTTTTTTTTTTTACTGGATTCATAAATTATTTTTTTCTGCCGGAATTGTTGATTCCCACATTTAGAAAATCCTACCAGTTTAATTAGAAACCTGTTATTTTTATTTATTTTATTTTTATTTATTTATTTTTTTTTTGTTCAAATAACTTTGGCACAAGGTAATAGTTACTGAGCTCGCTGGAAGCGTTAAAATAGCCCTTCCACTTGATATGACCCTTCATCTGCCCCTACTCCATTCTCTCAACCACAGATGTTCATTTGCTTTAGGTTCTCTCTCTCTCCCACCCACCTCAGCATCCATTCTCTCGATCTCATTTCTTTACATCCTTCTGAAAATCTAAAGTTGTTAACTCTCCCTCCCAATCTCCACAGGACATCCCTGAGGATTTTCTCCGAATCACTAGTCATTTTGAAGATAAGTGGTTAACTTTGACGAATGTTTTAATTCTTTGGTTAAGTGGATAAAAAAAAGAAATTCTTCCTGATCTGAGGTCTGTTGGTTCAATTCCTGACAAGATTTCATTTCTTATTCGTTTCTAGCCACTTCTTTTCTTCTTTTTTTTTTTCTTTCTAAACTTCTTGAAGAACCTCTTTAATTTCATTTCCGGTTTGTCGGATTTGTGACTTTCCGCCGCCATAATTCTCCAAGTTCATTCGAGTGCATAAAACCCCAAACTTTATCGTTTCGAGAATTTACTTGGCCTTCGCCAGAGAAATAAAAAGAAAAAAACTTGTATTCAATTCGTCTATCCAATTAAGTGGCAGGTTTCACTTTTAGTTGTTTCTTGTAATAAATGCAAGATTAATTTTACCATCACTCTCGTAAAAGGTCATGGTTAAGCGCCTAAGGGTACAATTTTATTGATGCTCAATCCTAAATTTTAATAATCCTATCTTCTCGATCAGGTGTGTATCGATATATAAGAAACAGGTTGTAAAATATAACAGAGAAATGGCAGTTCTTCTCTCGCTCTCTCAAAAAATGTTCCTACATTTTAAGGAGAGTACGAATTCTTTTTTCTTCTTTTTTCTTCTTCTTTTTTACTTCTTCTTTTTTCTTCTTCTTTTTTCTTCCTTTTTTTTTTTTTTTTTCTTCCTTTTTCTTCCTTTTTCTTTTTTTTCTTCCTTTTTCTTTTTTTTCTTCCTTTTTCTTTTTTTTCTTCCTTTTTCTTTTTTTTCTTCCTTTTTTTTTTTTTCTTTTTTCTTTTTTCTTCTTTTTTCTTCTTTTCTCTTTCTTTTTTCTTTTCTCTTTCTTTTTTCTTTTCTCTTTCTTTTTTCTTTTCTCTTTCTTTTTTTCTTTTTTTCTTTTTTTTTTTTTTTCTTTTCTTTTTTCTTTTCTTTTCTCTTTCTTTTTTTCTTTTCTCTTTCTTTTTTTCTTTTCTCTTTCTTTTTTTCTTTTCTCTTTCTTTTTTCTTTTTTTCTTTTTTTTTTTTCTTTTTTTTTTCTTTTCTTTTTTTTTTTTCTTTTCTTTTTTTTTTTTTTTTCTTTTTCTTTTTTTTTTTCTTTTTTTTTCTTTTCTCTTTTTTTTTTCTTTTTTTTTTCTTTTTTTTTTTCTTTTTCTTTTTCTTTTTCTTTTCTTTTTTTTTTTCTCTTTTTCTTTTTTCTTCTTTCTTTTCTTTTTCTTTTTCTTTTTCTTTTTCCTTTTCTTTTCTTTTTTTTCTTTTCTTTTTTTTCTTACTGCAAAAAAAGCTGTTTAATTTTTATCTAAGGAAGACCTGTTTATATTTTCGTCGGCTACGAAATATCTGACCGACACCAAACCGTGAGTAAGCCATGGATAACAACACCGTCAAATAACAATTTATATTTGACTATGTTTGTTTTGTACAAATGTCCGCTTCCAGTTGTATACGAGTGTCGGCCAATAAGGATTCTGCTCGATTTGAATTCCTAACCAACTTGTGCATCTACTGGAGATTTAATCAGAACAAACAAAAAGAAACTTAAGTCGATGACATCATTGGTTTCTATGATTTGACTCTTATAAACTTGTATTATATTCTAAAGAATAACTCCTCCAATTCAGATTGGGTGGAGGGGGCCTTCCACAATTAAATATTTGAAATATATACATCTCGTACGACATAATTGCCAAAGAGGTGGTTCGGATTAAAAGCGGGTAATTTCTTGCAAGGGAAAGAAGCATGAAAACAAAGGAATGCTGATTCGTTTGGGCAACTTTCTGGTCTAGGCATAATTATTTTTAATTAGAAAAACGCGTGAAAATTTCACGGTTTTCATATTTTTTATTTTCTGGTGAAACTTATTAACTTGAAAATTAATTGAATAAGCTCACGGCGAGCTCTACGACAATAAAATATTCGTAGAAATTCCCCTATGACATCGTTAAATATCTAAGCTTAACTTTTATAAACTATTGCAATAACAATCATGAATATGTATACAAGTCCTTATTTCAAGAAGTAAGGGATTACAAATGAAAAGATTTGAAATTGGCATGTTTTTTTCACATTTCATTGAAACAGATGTTAAACACTTCTATCTGCCCTTATTTTTTTCTTTCTTTCATTTTCTCGCTGAAACCAAGTAGCGTCTTTGACCGCGCAGAAGACGGAAAAGTCATCAAAGCTGAATAATCCATTATGTATGAGTTATTCTCAGGCCACTTTCTCACTGAAACCAAGTAGTCTCTTTTCTGTCTTTCCCTGTGGTTAAAACCGAATAATCCATTATTTATGAGGCATTGTCATGGTGTTACATATGTACGTGCTACCCAAGAAATAAAGAGAGGGGACAAGCAGATTGTTTAATTTTCTACGGTTTATCAACCTTTTACAAATTATTTAAAGAGTGAAAATATTTTTAGACTGTAAGAATTTTTTTTTGAGTTAATAATGATTTAGTGATACACGTCATACTAATTAATCCATAGCTGGGGAGAAGAGGTGAGGAACTGAAACGCTGCTCTCCGATTAACAATTCCGAGCCATTATCCATTACACCACCTGGACATCGAAGCTTACAGCACCATATATTCACAAGCGGTCACCCATCTTGGTACTGACCAGGCTCGACGTTGCTTAACTTCGGTGATCGTACGGGAACCGGTATTTCAACGTGATGTAGCCGTAAGCAAGACAGAGTTATAAGATATTTCGAACTTGACAAAACAAAGTAGTTTGACGCTTTTTTTTAATTACGGGGATCTTGAAAATGGTTACATACGCTTTTTTTTTTTTTTATATATATATATATATATATATCTTAGTAAGATTGTCATGTGGTCGATGTCTGGCAGGCCATTTCCATTGCACAGTGGTTGGGAATATGTCGAAATGTCAGAAGTATTATGGGCGCCTCAGTTTTAAATTGAAACCTATGGATGGGAATACCAGGCAGTTCAAGATTCACTGAGTTCTTAACAGTTACAAATGGTAACAGTGATATTAGCCGTTTCCCTACAAGGAAACATTTGGCACTCATTCACTGAGCAGCCAGTATGGTTTTTCGGTTGATATTTATAAAATCTCTCTCTTAAAACACTTACGTTTAGGAAAACAAATTTCTCAAGTCCAGTAGCTTTATATCTCTTTCCAGTATTGATGGGAGGGGGTTCCTTCATAACCTTCTGTTTGAAGTGATATGGAAGGTCAGCATCTTGATTATGTCATTATTTTCTCTTTGAGTTACATGTTCTATCCCAGGGGTTATCAACAGGGTTGAAATTCACCCCAAGGGGGTGAATTGTGACCACAGTAAGTTTAGTGGGGGAACAGAGCAATTATAGAATTTGGCCTGCTAACTTGTAAAGGAGGGGGGAATGGCAATCTGGCAAATGGTGAAAGGGGTGCGTGGGGCACGCAAGGTTGAGAACCCCTGTGCTATCCATTTTAATTGTTGCCCCTGTTGGTAGTCCTCAAGTGATGTGGTTTCTGTTATTTGTTACAGTTCTTTGTGATAATGTAGCGTTAGTTCATAATGTTCAAAGAAGTATGGCCTTTGCCAAGACCTTTTGGCATTACTTGCTGAAAGCCTTCTGCACCATTGATCTTAGGAAGCAGTTGTATAGAGCTAAGAGTTTAGATATTTACGAACGGGTTTGGCGCCATGCATGGCATCCAGATGAAAGTATCGATCTGACGAGGCTATTCAAGAACACGACTCGAGGTTTTAAGTTGATGTTTTAGTTTCGTAGCAATTTGCGGTCTTAGGTGAAACTACCTCTAACGAAGCATGCTCTATTTCTTTTTCTCCTATACTTAATTATTCGTTATAACTCTGATCCATACGCCGTATGTGTCTGTTAGTCTCAGTTCACTTGTCCAGCTGAACAACTCCAGAAATTTGTGTAGTGAAAATGCTTCGGTCACACAGTCACTGGAAGATTCCGTATTTTGTGTATATGTGTGTGTTTTTTTACATTTCTATCTTTGTTCGACTGTCCTGGGTAAGACGTTAAACTACGTCCAGCAGCAAGGCCTCTGATCAGGAGGTTTTGAGGAGCGTGGAACCACCTCTTAATTGCTGGTGTTTCCACGTCCACCGTGACCCGGGGTGGTAGCACCCGTTAGGGCCCCAGCTATGGTGAAATAGTTAACTATTACCAGCAATACTTTTTTGAAAAAAATTATTACCAGCAACACAATTTTGAAGGAAAAATATTACTAGAAACAGATTTTTGACAAAACAAAATATTACCAGCAATAAAAAATGTTGTCGGCATTAAATAACCCATTGAGGCTGATATGCCGTAAAACAAAATAAACCAAACCAATCTAAAGCAAAGAATACATATTCTATTCATACGAATCTATCCTAAAAATGTTGTTGGCATTAAATAACCCATTGAGGTTGATATACCGTAAAACAAAATAAACTAAACCAAACCAAACCAAATCTATCTTTGTTCGAGTTGTGCAAACAAAACGAAAAAATATTTCCTTTATTCCTGCCAGTCCTTCATTTGGCGGGAAAAATACTATTTTGATTCATAATTGACTTCAACATCTTTTAGTCCATTATTTTGTTTTTACAGCCCAAGTTTACCCCTCCGTAGCAATTAACTTCCAAGAATGTAAACTTTTGCTTGCAATACAGATCATAATCGTCTCAAAGACGTTTTAGTTCTGATGTGAGGGGTCAAAATGAACTTTCTCCGTCCTACTATATCTAATGACGGAAATGTTTCTGCTTCATAACAAACTCGGTACATTTTGTCACCAGTTGCTTAATTTGGGAAAAAAAAATGTCATGGTTTACTTTTTAGTGACCTTGAAAAACCTTAGATTTCAAGCTTACATATCATGTGCATGCAAAAAACAAAAAAAAATGATTTCTGAAACTTTTTTGTGTAGCCATGAAATTCAAACGTACAATCTTATACATCTGGCAACGAAAGTGCCGTTTCTATACAAACACTAAACAACTGCAAACAACTTCAGAAGACATTTATTTTTAAAAGCATTTGTCAAATCCTGGATAAACAAATTCTTGTAATTATCGAGACCAGAATGATGGTGAAAGGAAAAGAAAAATTGAATTCCCTAAATATGAATATGGTTTATTTATTAGTAATGATTGGTGGGGCCTTGGTCTTGACGTCATAATAATCGAAGCTTTTATGAATCACGGGCAGAATACAGCGGCCTCTCCATTTTGAGGGTTGGATGGGCCCTACTAAGTTATGTTTAATTTGATTTGTGTTAATATTTCAGTTTGTTACTGGGTTCATCTCCCTCCCTTCTCATTTTTTTCCTCACAGATTTTATATATATATATATATATATATATATATATATATATATTACTATCATTAAATTTTATGGCATGGGGCGCATTTTGTAGGTCCTTCTAGAGAGGATGTGGTATTATGGTGCATGGAGGATTGATTGGTGATGGACGAGTTCTTGTGGTGAATGGGTAAATTGTAATGAGTGAATGAGTCGTGAATCGGATTAGCTAGGTATAAGATAGTGTGGACCAGCTTGAACCCCACCACATTTTCGGCCTTGTGCCACAATTATGTAATTTTTACATAATAACCTACTAAACGCTTCAAGATATTTATCTTCTAGCTTTTGTTTATTTGTTTTTTAGATTTTTGTAAAGACATTATATTTCTTAGAAATACGATAAAATTGAATTCTCTCTCTCTCTCTCACTTACTCACTCGCTCACTTACACGAGAGAGAAAGAGAGAGAGAAAGAAAGAAACACGATGGAGTAATGGAAATGCGGCTTGGATTGAGTAATCTGAGTTCGAATTCCAGTCAAGTCAATTGCAATCACTTGTGCGTTATTAACATTGGGAAAGGCATGAATCCATCTCAATCTCTATGGGTAAACTAGCAGGACAAATTTGGCAATCAGTTTAGAAGGAAAACTCTGGATTCAAACCATCTGCTACCTCTTTAGGCAAAGGCTAGAAGGATGTCACTTCAAAAACAATTCTGCCTTTCATGTCGTCTTCAAGCCGCGACAGAAAATAATGGACTGGCTTAGTTTGGAACCAACCCAAGGCCGGGACACACACACACACATATATATATATATATATATATATATATATATATATATATATATATATATATATATTTTATATAAAGCATTTTGAAAGCTGAAAAAAAAACAACTGGTTTCGTCACAGCCTTATGAAGTTTATTTTCTGGGATATAAAAATATATAAGCGTGTAAATTAAATTAAAAATAACATTCAGACCCAGTAAACATTCCCTCTGCTTACAAAGGGAAGGCCGACGGGATCTGATATGCAAGGACTCTAGAACCTTGAGGTGATATATATATATATATATATATATATATATATATATATATATGTCTCCATTCACCGACAGCACTTTAAACGATCATGTATATAATCTTTTAACTTGTTTGACCATCCGAAACTGAAGGGTTGAATCAAATGTAAAGAAATTTCTATCGTTTTCTAACACATTGATATGCGACTATATTAGACCTGAATTTGAAACAAAAATTGTACCATTTTTCCACCTCACTTGTACAATATTATTATTATTATTGTATTTAGTAATTTTTGAAATTCAAGCATGTTTCTTCGAATCTTTTTTTCTTCCATTGTTCTCTTATATTTTACTTCTTTTTAGTTTGAAAAGTGAGTTAAAAAAAAAACCTCTCTCTCTCTCTCTCCCGCGTCGACCTCTCTCTCTCTCTCCCGCGTCGACCTCTCTCTCTCTCCCGCGTCTCTCTCTCCCGCGTCGACCTTTCTCTCTCTCCCGCGTCGACCTCTCTCTCTCTCTCTCCCGCGTCGACCTCTCTCTCTCTCTCCCGCGTCGACCTTTCTCTCTCTCTCTCCCGCGTCGACCTTTCTCTCTCTCTCTCTCCCGCGTCGACCTCTCTCTCTCTTCGACCTCTCTCTCTCTCTCCCGCGTCGACCTCTCTCTCTCTCCCGTCGACCTCTCTCTCTCTCTCTCTCTCACTCTCTCGTTTACCTTTCTCTCTCTCTCTCTCGTTTACCTTTCTCTCTCTCTCTCTCTCGTTTACCTTTCTCTCTCTCTCTCGTTTACCTTTCTCTCTCTCTCTCGTTTACCTTTCTCTCTCTCTCTCTCTCGTTTACTTTCTCTCTCTCTCTCTCTCGTTTACCTGTCTCTCTCTCTCTCTCGTTTACCTTTTTCTCTCTCTCTCTCTCGTTTACCTTTTCTCTCTCTCTCTCTCGTTTACCTCTCTCTCTCTTCTCTCTCTCTCTCTCTCTCTCTCGTTTACCTTTCTCTCTCTCTCTCTCTCTCTTTCTTTCTCTCTCTCTCGTTTCTCTCTCTCTCTTTTACCTTTCTCTCTCTCTCTCTCGTTTTTACCTTTCTCTCTCTCTCGTTTACCTTTCTCTCTCTCTCTCGTTTACCTTTCTCTCTCTCTCTCGTTTACCTTTCTCTCTCTCTCTCGTTTACCTTTCTCTCTCTCTCTCTTTTTCTCTCTTTTCTCTCTCTCTCTCTTTTACCTCTTCTCTCTCTCCTTTTCTGCTATTCATCATATTCAGCAGGATCTAAGTTTACCTTTTCTCTCTCTCTGTTTACCTTTCTCTCTCATCTAATCCGACGTCTCAGTTCAAATCCTTCCTTTAGTTTCGTGTGACTGCCACCACCAGTAACCTTTCCCCTTTTAGGGATCCTGGACGAGAACGTGAGCCATTTTGCTCAGAAACATAGCTATCTTCAATTTTCTCTTGTATTTTATATATTTCCTTTCAGAAATTCAAAAGCAACTTCAATTTAAAAAGATGAAAAAGAAAAGAGACAATTTAAAGAATTTCATCTTCAAAAGTCTTCCAACAGTCTATGGTTATGTCTTTGCTGCCTCTCCTTTCGAAAATGTATATATGGTTTGGTTAGGGTTTTTTTTTTAAGCTTCCGTCTAAACGCGGTGTCAGCTTTCATAGCATCTGGCGTGATTGCCACCAGTACTCATGACAGCGTGTTACAGGAGGAAAACGAAAACCGGATTCTCTGTTCATTTTCGACTTTGTCTTTACTCTTAGTATTTAAACCGATTTTATAGTCTTCCGTGCACTAGTTTCAAATTATTCACGACAATAATTTAGTCTACCTATAATCATTGTTCATTTTTTTTTTTTTTGATTTATTGTAAATATAACATTAAAATTTATGCTTCCATATTTAATTTGACTTTAAACTATATCTACTTTCATTTTCCTCTTTTCTTCGGCTCTGCTCCCCTTACTTGTATTCGAACTGGAGACGAGAATCTGTTGTCCTGCGCGCGAATCTGTTCCCCGTGTGACTGCCGCAAGTAACCGGGCGACACGGATCCTGTTGCCCTGTGCGCAAGATTTTGGCGAAACGAGCTATCTTCAATCTTGTATATTTCCTTTCAAGAAATGGCGGGCGACACGAATTTAAAAGATGAAAAGTGCGCAAGATGGCGGGCGAAAGAATTTCATCTTCAAAAGTCTGCCAACAGTCAAGATGGCGGGCGTCTTTGAATCCTCTGCTTTTTCGAAAATGTATATATGGTTTTTGGCGGGCGACCGTCTAAATCGGTGTTGCATCCTGTGATTGCCACCAGATGGCGTGTTACAGGCGAAACGAATCTGATGCTCTGTTCAAGACTTTGCGGGCGATTTAAACCGATTTTATAGTCTTCCGTGCCCTAGTTTCAAATTATTCACGATGGCGGGCGACCGAATAATCATTGTTCATTTTTTTTTTTGATTGGCGGGCGACACGAATTAAAATTTGTGCGCAAGATGGCGGGCGACTTTAATCTATATCTGCCCATTTTGCGCTTTTCTTCGGGCGACCCTTACTTGTATTGCCCTGTGCGCAAGATGGCGGGCGACACGAATCTGTTGCCCTGTGCGCAAGATGGCGGGCGACACGAATCTGTTGCCCTGTGCGCAAGATGGCGGGCGACACGAATCTGTTGCCCTGTGCGCAAGATGGCGGGCGACACGAATCTGTTGCCCTGTGCGCAAGATGGCGGGCGACACGAATCTGTTGCCCTGTGCGCAAGATGGCGGGCGACACGAATCTGTTGCCCTGTGCGCAAGATGGCGGGCGACACGAATCTGTTGCCCTGTGCGCAAGATGGCGGGCGACACGAATCTGTTGCCCTGTGCGCAAGATGGCGGGCGACACGAATCTGTTGCCCTGTGCGCAAGATGGCGGGCGACACGAATCTGTTGCCCTGTGCGCAAGATGGCGGGCGACACGAATCTGTTGCCCTGTGCGCAAGATGGCGGGCGACACGAATCTGTTGCCCTGTGCGCAAGATGGCGGGCGACACGAATCTGTTGCCCTGTGCGCAAGATGGCGGGCGACACGAATCTGTTGCCCTGTGCGCAAGATGGCGGGCGACACGAATCTGTTGCCCTGTGCGCAAGATGGCGGGCGACACGAATCTGTTAACAGGATTTGTTTCTTCATTTCTATTCATTTGCTCAAGCCGATGTTTTTGGGTGTTTATATATATATATATATATATATATATATATATTATTTATTTATTCGAAAATTATAACATAAATGTTATAAAATCACTACAAAAATAGCCATTTTATTTCAACACTTCTGGTGTCTTATCAAGTGATGGTGTTGCATGTAAAATAAAGGATTTTAAAAGGTTCAAATCAATCAAACACCCCTCGTTAAGGGAAACGCTGTAACATAAGCTGGAATGACCAATCAAAATACAAGTATATGAGAATTCAAAAAAACTTGACAACGGACAAAATGACTATTTTTGTAGTCCTTTTATAACATATTTGTTATAATTTTCGAATAAATAATTATATTTGCTTTACTCTGTATTGAGCACTCTTTTAAGTATAGTATTTGTTGGTTATTGGAATTTATTCCGTATACACTAATCCTATACTTATGTATGTATGTATGTATCTATCTATGTATGTATGTACGCACGTACGTACGGTAACTGTTTCTGATAAAATTTGGAAAGGTGTAAATTTTTGACATATGTATTCCAGTTCAATTAAAAAAATTAAGGATTGAAATTCATTTGTCGTTAAGTTCTTCGTCGAGTACAGTCAGTTTTATTTCCTATTAGTATTTTTTTTTTTTTTTTTACTCTATTGGTTTCTTTCCTTTCTCCCTCCAATCTAGCGACCTACATGTTTATGACACGGGGTGTGTGTGAGAGAGAGAGAGGTTGTTTTTATTTTTCTTCAGCCTTGAAATATCTGTTGTATGAACATTATTGCCAAATCTGTGCCAGTAAAGGTCACGAATAATTACTGCGCCAGACGACATCATCTTCTTCCCTGTTTTTTTTTTCTGTTCTTTCTCTCCATTTCTTTTTTCTCTTCCCATTGTTTTCTTCCTTTCTTTTCTGTTTCTCTCTCATATAATCACTTTTCTCTCTTCTCTCAACACTGCTCCCTCCATTTTGTCTATAGAGCTGCAAAAATCACCATTATATCTTCCCTCCCTTCACTGGCTTCCGGGGCATTTTGTGACAAGGGACTTCCTTTATATTCGCTTTTTTTATTTTATCAAGTATGAGAGCCTGACTATTTTCAAATTATTAATTTGAAATTATATATCATAATTATTAATATCCTTGATTGAAAAATTGTAAATATTTAAAAAAAAAAAAAAAAAAAAAAAAAAGATTTTATTAGCCATTTCTCCGTCTGGATTGCAAGCATCTGACACATGTTATAACCACGTGACACTCACCCTTTCTCTCTCTCCCCCTTTCTCTCGACTAAACCAGACTTCTACATTTCCTCATAGTTCCATTTTTATCGATAGTTGCTGTATTCTCATGTCTATAAGACCGTATACTAGATTTCAAAGAGTATTTAGTACCCTCCACTTGTTCAACAGCTGTTAATCGATAGATGCCGTTGTCGTTATGTCACCAGATTGGACGCACTCTAATATCTATATAATATAATTCTTTTAATGTGCGTCTTATACGTTGACAAATATAATGACTCTTAATGCGATTGTGTATATATATATATATATATTTTTATTGCAGTATATTTTAATTTGCATTTTTCTTAGTTTTATTTTTTAATCGAACTTTGACAGAAAATCGAGCAATAAAACACTACTTCCGGTGCATTTTGTGCCAAGGGACTTCCTTTAAATTCGCTTTTTTTTATTCTATCAAGTATGAGAGCCTGACCATTTTCAAATTATTAATTTGAAATTATCTATCATTATTATTAATATCTTTGATTGAAAAATGGTAAACATTTAAAAAAATCGATAGATGCCGCTGTCGTTATAATGTCAACATAATATCTATATAATATTATTCTTTTAATGTGCGTCTTATACGTTGACAAATACAAGTTTTATTGCGATCGTGTGTGTGTGTGTGTGTGTGTGTGTGTATATATATATATATATATATATATATATATATATGGTATGTTTTTGCATTTATCTTAGTTTTATTTTTTTAATCGGACTTTGACAGAAAATCGGGCAATAAAACACTATTTAATATTGTCCAACACATTGTTTAGCCATTGTTGCTAACTTTCTCTTAGAGATCTTTACTAGTATCTTTACAGAACCCTTGACGATAATCTGTCTTTAGCTACATTTTAGCATTAAAAAGTAATTGAGTCCTGTTACTTCCATAAAATTTCACTTAGTTTTCTTCTGGAAAATATCAAATAATGCTGCTGATTTAAAAGTGCGCATCTATTCAGACAGTGTGACACTGAAAGGACATTAATCTCCCACCGTGCAATTGTAAAGTTCAAATGACCTTTTGAAAAAAAAAAAAAAAAATGAGAGGAATCAAGAGGCAAATACAAAATAAAAACTCGCAAAGCTTCAGTGTGTTTACTTTTTTCCAGACGCAAATGAGCAGCTATTTTTTTTTCTTCAAAATTCTGAGCTGTTGTTTCGTAAACATTTTTTTTTTTTGTAGCACACACACTCTCTCACTTTTTGAAGTAGGGTTCAAGATAGAATGTAACGTTGGTCTTAACGTTAACAAGAAAAAAAAATCATTGGAGATAAGACATGGCTGTGATAAATTAAAAACTTTTTTTTATTTCCCGTGATTTACAAGGTTGGATCATTTGCCGTGGTCGCGGAAGACTGAGAGTTTGTTCGAAGTATAACACACGGTAGTAACCGAGATAGAGGCATATGTAGTCGAGGGAGATAGCTTTGTAGGGAAACATCTTGGACGAATTATCGCATTGTAGTCGTTAGTAGTCGAGAGTTAGCCTCTGCTGCTGGTTTCGTCGCTGGCCGAAGGTATCATCGTTGATAGAAATGTCTTGTCGCTGCTGATGCCGACGGATCCACACAGCAGGAAAGTATATTGTCTGCCGTGGGGTCAGTTTCTAATCTCAAACTGGACTGATCTGCCTCAATGGGTAAAATCAGCGTTGGCTTTATCATTGTCTCAGAAACGGTTGATGCGAAAAGCTCATCGTTTTTCTTTTTTCTGACTGGTTAGAAAAGTTGTGTTATGACTGTGGTATTTGGGGGCGGTATCCCGTAACTGGGCTTGTTTCTGTCATATTAGCTGTGGATGCCGAAGTGAGCACCTCCGTCTTTTAAGTACTGGAATTCCGACAGGGTGCGACAAGAATTTAAAGATTTACCTAAAATTTCTTTGTTCTGTCTTTTAATATACTGACTTGGATAACAATTGCTAAAAATTATTTTTGTTTAATAAAAAGCCCGTTATTCTCAGTGGTATATTCTGCAAATACGCCGTGGTATTTCTCAATTTCAGATATACTGGTAGCGTAACGGTTATCGGCGGAGAAAGTAGAATTAGTGAGCCGGATTAAAATTCTGCTCCCGTCTTTTGCATTCACTTTCGCATAATTATTCGTAGGTAAGGCATGAAACCACCTCTTCTATCTACACAGCTATGGCTCAAGTAAACTGGTCTCTCTAGCATTGGTTGGCAACTAGTCTAAGAGAAAGAACACTGGATTTTAAACTGTAGAATCTCTTCATTATATTCCTCATTTCAGTTCGCATATCATGAAGAAACGGTGTCTCCAGAGGAGAGCTATGACCGCACAATGTGGTCCTCAAGGAGAACATCTGATATCAAGATAAAATTTGTGTGTATCATGTTACAGTTATGTTTTAATTTAGACTTGAATAAAATGCAAAATCTTTGAAATCAAATAATTTAAAATTTAATTTTTAACATTATTTACATTATTCGGACTATTGTCCTCATCTTTGTCGCCATATTTATCACAACGTTTCGGCCGTTGTACGCTCCGGCCTTCTTCAGGTCGTTGGAATGTCGAATTGAACCCTTTATTTCGCTCACTGGGGTAGGCTGTTCTAGTTCCACTTAGCATGTTTAATGGATGTCAGTTATCAGTTATCTCTTTTTAATTCCTCTCTCCAAGTTCTCCACTGCCTTAACCGGGTATTGAACTCACACTCTTTGGGTCCTGTCACTGGATCTAACCAACGCCTTTATCCACTGTGCCATGTGTCCTTGAGAACCACCTGAAGAAGGCCGGAGCGTACAACAGCCGAAACGTTGTGATAAATATGACGACAAAGATGAGGACAATAGTCCGAATAATGTAAATAATCTACATAATACCTTATCTCATAAATATAGACAGATACTTAATTTTTAAATTATGAAAAATGTATATACTTTAAAGATTTGTATACAAATCTTAAATTACTACTAGTTGTGTGTGTGTGTATATATATATATATATATATATATATATATATATATGCCATTTACTATAAGCAGTATTAACGACAATTACCGGCCTGAATATCCGCGGAATTGCATAAAAAATATGTATCATCCGACATGAATTGAACCTGTATCCTACACGGAAACGTCATTTGATCTGACGTGCTATATCATTTAGCTACAGAGGTAGCGTCTGATTAGGAAGTTTAAATTACTGTTTTTAAACAAATTTTCCATGATTTTTCTCGAACGATTATATCTACTCGTAGCATATCTTAAGGTAAACAAATGACATATTAAATGGACTAAGTCCGGCAATTATTTTAATATATTTTCTGTTTATATGTTATTTTTATACATACAAATATTTAAGTAAATGCTGTATCCATGATAAACAATATTAAGTAGGATACAGGTTCGATTCCTGTCGGAGGATACATATTTTCTCGGACATTCAGGCCGGTAAATGTAGTTAGTACTGTTTATTATAAACAGAGCATTTACTTAAATATTTGTATCTATAAAACTAACGTATAAACAGAAAATATATTAAAGTAATTGTCGGACTTAGTCCATTTCATATATATATATATATATAATGTGTGTGTGTGTGTGTGTGTATATATATATATATATATATATATATATATATATATATATCTGTAAATGGTCAGTATGAATAAAGACAAAAGAAAAACTTATCTTATCCGACGCATTTCGTCCCCTGAGGGACTTTATCAAGGCAATTGGTCGAAAAGTCAGATAAGCTATTGTGTCTCTTCGCGCCTTTTCGACCAACCTGATGAATATTAATAAGCGTTCTTAAAGTTAAAAAATTTGAAAAACCAATAACATTTTTGCTCTCGTATATAAATACTTGTTACAAAATAAAATCTTTGTATTTGCCTTGATAAAGTGCCTCAGAGAATGAAACGTGTCAGCTAAGATAAATCTTTCTTTGTCTTTTTATTATATATATATATAAGCAAATGTAAATGGATATAGATCCGACAGAATGAAGAAAAATTTGGAAAAAAAACAAACAAAATCCTTAAATGCAATTATGTTGTTTTAAAATGAATGAAATGTCGACGTCTGACGTTTCGGTTTAATAAAACTTTTTTCAAGACAATATTCATTAAAAATACAATTCAGTTCAATTTGACAAAGACGATGGACATAAACAACAAGTCTTATCCAAAACGTATGAAAAATTTTTGATTATTTTGAATAAAAAAGAAAATGAAAGAATTCTATTAGGATCTAAAATTTTTAGGAATACGTTTTGAAAGCGTCGCCCATGTGACGACAACGTGACCATGCTAAACGGAAAGCTGATCATTTTAAAATTTTTCAGTTATCTGTTTTGGATAAGACTTGTTTATGTCCATCGTCTTTGTCAAATTGAACTGAATTGTATTTTAATGAATATTGTTTTGAAAAAGGTTTATTAAACCCAGACGTCGACATTTCATTCATTTTAAACAACATAATTGCATTTAAGGATTTTTGTTTGTTTTTTTTTCCAAATTTTTCTTTATATATATATATATATATATAAGAAGAACCCGTTTTGCCCCGGATCGTCCACAATCTTGTTTTCAACGTAGGCACGTTGTTTTCCATGAAGATTTTTCCAAACTACTTTCTACTAATTTGTTTAATCCAAGATTAAAACTTAAGAAGAAAAAATTATGCAAATAATCCTCGCAAGAAATTTAGTGTAAACATTCTGCAAGATCTCTGCAGAGGATTAGTGATCATCGATTATTTAGGCGTAAATACTACGCTGTTAGTTCCGGTTAAATAAGAAACACTTCCTTGTGCTCGTGTTGAGTAATAAAAACATGGCAACTCGTTTATATTTGAGTCGACTGGATTAATGTGCGTTGTGGCGGGATTCATTTCTCGCTTTGCGCACGTGCAGGTAAGAAGAGACGGGAGCACATCTGCGTTGTATACCAAACTTTCTCGGGTTACAGCCAACCTTAAAACTTAAATTGGGAGGAGATATTTATTATCACCCTTACATGAAACTGCAAAAAGAAACTGAGAGTATCTTAAATAATATCACATAAGTTCACTTTTTTTTTTTTATCTAAATGAAAGCGATGATGTTGATTCTCAGAGTTGCAATAAAAGTGCATTTAACTGGTGTTAATGTTTTTTTTTAATCGGTTGTGAATCCTATATATAAAAAGTGTTATTTATATCTATAATTTACTTTCCGCCATAATTCTTTTTTCATTCACCTGCTGCTTGTGCTGTTTTTTTTTATTACTTGAAATTTTCGCCGGTCACGTGGGTTCAGTCGTCCGTTCCGCTCTTCCAGCCGTCGTTCGTTTCGTTCGTTTTCAATTCCTCTAACAGACCTGCCTTCTGTTCCACTCTCCTTCCTTTTAGCTCTTCCACCTGTCATTCGTTCCGCTCTTTTCCCGTTTTCTGTTCCTCCTCCGCTCCGGCTCTCTTTTTCCTGTCTTCCGTCCGCTCCTTTCCGCTCCTTCCGTCCGCCCGGCTCTCTTTCCGTTCCTCTCTTCCGTCCGCCCGGCTCTCTTTCCGTTCCTCTCTTCCGTCCGCCCGGCTCTCTTTCCGTTCCTCTCTTCCGTCCGCCCGGCTCTCTTTCCGTTCCTCTCTTCCGTCCGCCCGGCTCTTCGTTTCTCTCTTCCGTCCGTCCGGCTCTCTTTCCGTTCCTCTCTTTCGTCCGTCCGTCCGGCTCTCTTTCCGTTCTCTCTTTTCCGTTCCGTCCGTCCGGCTCTCTTTCCGTCCGTCCGCCCGGCTCTCTTCCGTCCGTCCGGCTCTCTTTCGTACGTCCGGTTCTTTCGTCGTCCTTCCGTCTCTTTCGTACGCTCTCTTTCGTACGTCCGGCTCTTTCCGTTCCTCTCTTCCTTCCGCCCGGCTCTCTTTCCGTTCCTCTCTTTCCGTTCCGTTCTCTCTTCCGTCCGGCTCTCTTTCCGTTCCTCTCTTTCGTCCGTCCGGCTCTCTTTCCGTTCCTCTCTTCCGTCCGTCCGGCTCTCTTTCCGTTCCTCTCTTCCGTCCGTCCGGCTCTCTTTTTTTCTCTTCCGTCCGTCCGCTTTCGTCTTCTCCTTCCGTTCTTGTCTTCTGTTCCGTTCCTCTTCCGTCCGTCACGGTCCTCCGGCTCTTCTTCCTTCTTCTCTTCCGCTCGCTTCCCTTCGTCTCTTCTGTTCCGCTCTTCCCCCTCATCTTCCATTCTTCCCGGCTCGTCTTCCGTCGCTCGTCGTCATGTCTCCTTCCGTCTTCTCTTCTCTGCTTCACAGATTTCTTGCTTTACTTATTTTCCTTACCTCTCATCTCTATTCAATAATATATTTTATCAATTTCAAATTCCCCATTTTATTTTCCTTATTTTCATTTCACCTTTTTCTCTTTCTAGATGCAACATTTGTTCTTCCACAACTACAAAGAAGAGAAAGGCTCCTTTACCTACAGCCTGAACAAAGTCGATCTAAGTCAAGCAATAACTCTTCACCCCATCAAAGAACCTGCACATCAATATCGCGTACACAATTACATACTGGGGCAACACATTTCTAGTCTTCGACACAAAAGCCTGCTTTTGCATCGTGAACTCCGATCGCTAGACAATCTCCTTGGCGAACAATATTCCAGTGCTTCCGATAAACTTGGATACCAGGCGTCCTTGATGAAATTTGTTCCAACTGAAGAGGAGGACGTCCTTGACTGGGAATTTTTTACCCGGCCTATTTATTCTGCTTCCGATTTTAATCCCAAGCGTGGGATGCCAGGCCACTTGCGCACAGGCCTTGATGACATTATTTTGCAAACGCTGCAGATGGTGAATAGCAATTCACGACAGAGAGGTCGTAATATAGACTTCAAAGAAATTTTATATGGTTACAGAAGGATAAATCCATTTTTCAGCAGTGACTACATTCTTGATCTACTTTTAATATTTCGGAAACACAAAGGCCGAAGAATGACTGTGCCTGTTCGAAGGCATGCCTATCTCCAGCAAAATTTTGGTGCCATTGAATTCCTGGAGGACCTCTACCCCTCGTACAGCGAAAAGCAGTCTCCTCACAGTTCATCTACCTATCCATTTGCACATCTTTTCACAAATTCTAAATCTCCAGAAAGGACTAACCTTGATAAATCACAAGAAGTGATTCATATAATTCTTTCATTGTCTGGGCGATACGAGACATTTCGTCGCTTCATGCAAAACTATGAGCAGGTTGTGCTGAATCGAAAAGAAAAGGTTCGCCTGAACATTGTGCTTTTCGATAGTCCAGACGAAATGGCTCTACAGAAAACAATTAACCTGATCATGCACTATCAGCAACGATATGGTGCCAATAGAATTGAGCTGATTGAAGCCAACGGACCCTTCTCACGTGCAAAGGCGCTTAAGCTTGGTTCATCCGATACAAAACCCAACACTCTGTTGTTTTTCATGGATGTCGATATAGTTATTGGCAAAGATGTGTTTCAGCGTGTACGTCTGAACACTCGCCAATCGATACAGGTCTATTTCCCTATTGTTTTCAGTCAATACGATCCGGAACCATTCTGTGAAAATTCTAGTCTAGATAAATGTGTCACCGATTATCAAAACTTCCAGGACGATTATGGCAGTTGGAGACAGTTTGGGTTTGGAATTGCTAGTGTATATAAAACTGATCTAGAAGCAGTTGGCGGGTTTGACACTAGTATTCAGGGTTGGGGCAAAGAGGATGTTGACCTATACCAAAAGTTTCTAAACAGCAACTTGACTATTTTCCGTTCTGTGGATCCAGGATTGTACCATGCATTCCATCCTGTGTCCTGTGATCCAGCATTGGAACCAGCACAGTTTCAAATGTGCTTGGGATCCAAAGCTTCTGGATTCCGTTCAACACAGCAGCTGTCCAAAATATTCTATAATAATCCAGAGCTTTTAAATAGCAGACCAAACAGTATTGCTCAGAATAATTCATGATCAAGGTTTTCTTACCCTCTTCCAAAAAATTTTTTTTTTTTTTTTTTTCCTTTTTTTTTTTTTTTTTTTTTTTTTTTTTTTTGTCTGCCAATCTTTTACTTAATAATTTTGGAAAAAAAACACAAAAATAACAAAAAATAAAAAATGAAATGTCCATACCTTTATTTTCTAACTGCATTTATTTTTTTAATTTTTGTTTTTACAAATATTTTGCTTTTACATTTTTTAAATGTATATTGTCATTTTTTATTTTCTTATTTCAATCGTTTTTAATTTTTTTTTACTTTTGAGTTTTTTCTTCATTTTTTGTTTATTTTTTTTTCTCTTGGTTTAGTTTTTTTTTTATATCATTCATTCAAGTTTGTAACAAATATTTTCCAAAAAAATATCTTTTGATAATTCTCAATGGAATTTCTTTAAAGGTTCATATTTGTCTTAAACAAAATAATGGAAAAAAAATTTTTACTGAGAATTTTTTTTTTCTTGATGGTTCTTTCTTTTTTATACAAATGAATGAAATATTTTTCTTTTCTTTTTTTTTTTTTAAAAAAAATTCATTCTTAGTGTAAATTCATATATTTTCTTCATTTTTTCGAAGAAATAATTTTTGATCTATTCAGCAAGAAAAATTAAAAGTGTGTGAGAGAGAAAGTTGTGAGTATAAGAGAAGGATGAATGGATGAAGAGAAAATAAAAACTGGAAGAGAAATTGGGAAGCAAAAAATAAAAATGAAATTATTTTTGTCCCTCACCTCAGATTATTTAGTCCTCATTACAACGGCAACATTTTTTTTGTCAATTTTAAGAGTATTAGAAATCAAACAATGAACACTAAGGCATGTGAAAAGATGTATTTTGTACATGTAAATAAATACTGAAAAAAAAATTTTTAAATATAAAAGTTCAATATTATTTTTTATCATTTCATCCCAAGCAAGGCAATAAAGCCACTAAGATACAATGCGTTACTGAGTGTTTAAGAATAAGAAAAACATTATTAAAGAGCAAAAACAATAGTAGAACATGATTTAAGATGATAGAAAATAACGATTAACATTTCGTTTAATTTTTGAAGATTAAACTTAACTGAAAAGCAAGAAGCAGGTAGGCAGTTTCACAAAACGAGACATGTGAGGGTAGAAATTGTTAGCATAGAACTTACGGTTAGCCATTTCAACAATATAGCAGTAGCGCCAGATCATATATGGCAGAAATATAGACGAATAGTTGACTTATAAATATGTCAGATTCTGGAGAAAAATTGTCCCACACTATGAACCAACTTTCCTAGCCGGTAGAGAGTTTCACAAAATGAGACATGCAACAGAAGAAACTTTTAGAACTTACGGTTAAATCTAGCCATTTCAATTGTAAAATGATGAGACCTACCTGCCAATCTAGTACTACTCTTAAATTCATAAAGTCAATGTACGATAGAGGAAAACTCAGAAGAAATATCATGAAAGTATTTATAAAAAAAAGGGCACAGGAAGCTAAATTAAGGTGGTAGGAAAGTGACTGAATCAAAGATGCCAGGTCAGGACAAATAACATTGCAGATTCTTTTAGATTTTATCAACAAACTCTAAATATATAGCAGGAGCGCCAGAAATATGGACGAATCGTAGACTTATAAATATGTCAGATAGATTCTGAAGAGAATAATTGTCTCGCACAGAGAAAAACTTTCCTTGTAACAGACCTAGCAGTTGATTCAATATAATTTTTCCACTTCATGTCAACAGAGAATGTTAGCCCGCAAAAGGCACAGTGAGTCCCTCTCCTGGAAGATAGTATCACCGATGCTGATAGAAGATGGGTCTCTCAGATGATTAATGGAAAGACGTTTTGTTTTGTAGGCATGAAAATTAACAAGCCGTTCTTTGCTCCAGTTAACAGCATATTGTAGATCATTTTTGAGATCAGCTGCCAATTTGACCGGATTGAACTGACCAGAATTACTATTTCATAAAAGTTAAGAAAATATTTGGTTTCACTGTGAAACAAGACAGGAATTCTGGGCGGAATTTATTTAGTATTAAGAAACAAAATTACTAATGACTCGGATGCGTGGCTGCCTCATGGGCTCAGCAAATAAACATTTCAAGATAGCAGAGGTCAACGTTTGTTGGGTGAATAAAACAGCAATTATCTTTTTCTTCTTCATAGTTTATCAGCATTCTAGAAAAATACTTTAAACAGACATTTGAATAGCTAAAAGACTCTTAAACTGCAGGAACTACACTGATTGACCTGAAGGCTTCCAGAAATCTTTGCAGTAGTGATTTCTCTATCTGCTGTAATGAGTATCAGCCTGTTTGGCCTTATCCTCATTCACAGCAGCAGCAGGCCTGCCACTGTAGAGTCTATCACTAAGATCAGTTTCTTCTTTTTCTCTAGGATTGTCATTAACTCTGTCGGCCTATCATCCTACTGTACTTATATCAAGTGCAGCCTTTCCGTAAACATTTTCGAACCACCTGTAAAGATTTGCAGGATGTTCTTCCAAAAACAGACACTCTTCATCATCTCTTTGCTTTCTATATATCCAGATGGGCATCTATTTTGAAGGAGTATTATGGATAGGAGAAGAGAAGGTAAATCTATAATCTTCTTTGACATTGAGACACTTGACAGTTAATAGATATAAAAAGTAGCATGGAAAAAAACTGAGTTCTTTTAATTTTGAAATTAAGTTATAACAGGCATTACTTTTTGACCAACTCTCTCTCTCTCTCACTCACTTAAAGAAATTTGTAAGGAAGACAGCAGAAACACATTTTAAGGACACATTTTATTTTCTTTGCAAAAACTTAAAGCTCTCTAAAACAAAATACGGTCACACACACACACACACACACACTGGATACGCATAAACCAAATGGTAAGGAGCTGATGCATTGGTTAATGAGTGAATTCGGAAGAGAAAATTAAAATTTGACATGAATTTACATCAACAATCGGTAAAGCGGCATCACTGGCAAAGTATACAGCAAATAGTTCCTTTATATTCTAGAGGGGTTTCCATCTATGTAATATTTGCCTGATATACAAAAAGGATGAGCCAAAATGTGTCGTTAGGTTTTCTTTGCATTGACTATAAAAGGCTTGGTCATAAAGAGTAACACGTGACTGATCACAAAACCGGATATTGTATTACTGATCGAAATTCTAATAAGATTTCTATTGTTAAATGGCTTTTTAAATATCTTGGGCTTCCAGGCATTTTTTTTCCTGTCACACAATGTATGAATTGGGGTTATGGCTCCAAATTTGAATCTATTTGTGCAGTCTTCTCTGAATAACAGATTTTGTGAATGGCATAATGGTGTTTTTCAGGCCAAAAAACAATGGCCGATATTCAATGGCATTTTGAATGGGTGGAAAATTTGTTCAAAAGCTCTATTACACGATCTGAAAGGTTTTAACTGAAACCATTTGATATTTCGTAGGAACATTGAGAGTGTCTCCCCTTGAGAAAATAAGAGCGGTGTGC